GGAACTTGATAAACTTACTCTAAATTTTTTCTGGAAGAATAAAAGATCATGAAGAGCTAAGTCAATCAATTTGAAAATAAAATATTAAAGAGAGAGGAATCTCTACCAAATTTTAAGACCTACTACAAAGTCAAAATAATAAAACTAGTGTGGCACTGCTGGAAAAACAGACCCATGGAACAGAATAGGGAGCTCAGAGGCAGACATGTGAATAAGTGAAAACATAACACTTCGCAAAGGAAGCCCCACAAAACCCTGGGTCATGGATGGATAGGTTGACTGTAAAAAATACTTTAGAGAAATTTGACTTCATAAAAATTAACCAAAAGTACCCCACCAATTTACAAAGAAATCTTTTGCAATACAAGACAGGAAAAAAGATTAATTTTAATACACATTCTTGAAAGTAAATATTTTAAAAAGACCCAAAGAAAAAGAGAAAACAAATGACAACCACCCACATAAAAAAGTCTTATCAACCTATGTAAAAGATGTTCAATCTCACTGTTATTTAAAGAAATGTTCACTAAAGGAAGAGCTATGAAAATTGGCAAAGATGTAAACTTCAATAATATAACATTATTGGTGAAGGTAGGGGAAAGTTGGTGCAATCAAACTCAGGTAATAGAAACGGATTTGCAGTTATTAGCAAAACTGCACAACACAAATAGTCTTTGGTTAAGAGATTGCACTTCTGGGAATTTGTCCTGCAGAGATGCTACCACTTGTAAGCAATGATCACTGTACATACACGCTGACTGCACCATGCTTAATTTAGTAAAAGTCTAAAACAAACCAAATATACATCAATGGGAAGATAGTTAGGCAAATCATGGTACATCCACACAATAGACTACTATACTGCTACCCAAAAGCAGAAATAAGGATCACTAGTCCTACCACCCACTGAAAGATAGAAGGTAAATCGGTACAGTATATATTTACATATATGTGTAAATAACAAAGGGCAAAAGTATATGTGTATATATATGAAGATTGATAGATATATAGCAAATCCCTAGCTCTAGAGATCCCCCAGGAAAAAGGGAGGGGATTAGGTTGGGTGGGAAGACTGCCAAGGATAACCCTAGTCTTCTCTGTAATGTCCCATTTAGTGCAAGAA